AAGGGCTTAAGTAGAAGGAAAATGTTTTGAGAATGATGATGGCAACAAATGTACAAATGTGCTTGACACAACGGATGTATGCATGGATTGTGTAAGAGTTGTACAAGCCCCCAATAAAATTATTTTAAAAAAAAAGTCTAATTGATAATGGGTTAAGATAAGCTTAACAGGTTAAAGTACATATTTTTCTACTGCCAAATACAATCAAGGATGAGTTATTTCTAGATTTTGCATTTTATAAATAGTTACCTGTGTTATTGTATTTAATTTTAGCAATAATTCATTCAATTATTTTTAATAGGTATCTCTACTTTAACCTTTTCGTTCACTCACTTACCTATTTTGTAAGATGTACCTAAGGATAATATTCTCTGTCAATTGTTCATAACTATGTATGAGGGACATAATTAGGGAAAGGGGAGCTACTGGCATGTGAACAGGAAATGGTAATTAATCCTATTAGTGTACAGACATGAAAAAGATTTAAAAAGTTCATTGCTAATGAACTCTTTAGAGTGCCCTTGTAAACTTGTTTTTTATAAATTTATATATCACATTTAAAAACTTATTTTACAGGTCTTTTGAGCCCTGGTGATGTAGTGGTTAGGGTTGGGCTGCTAACTGCAAGATCAGCAGTTCAAAATCACCTCCATGGGAAAATATGAGGCTCTCTACTCCACTTAAGAATTACAGTCTTGGAAACCTTAAGGGGCAATCCCACCCTGTCCTGAAGGGCCACTGAGAGTCGGCACCGACTTGATGGCAGTGAGCTTTACACAAGTGTAAGGACTGTGACTCTCTTGTTGCTGCTGTACATCTATAACATTAAAGGAACATTCTGCAGTTAACGCTATTATTTTCCTTTTAGAAATAAGTCTCACGGTAGTTTTCTAGAAAATTATCCTTACTCCTATATTATCCCTTGGTGTTTCATATCTTTGTTCCCTAGACTATAAATGCCTCAAAAATGTAAGGCTTTTTTTAGCCCTTCTGATGCCAGAAGTCACTCAATGAATATTTTCTGAACTGAATAAAAAAGAC